CTCCGGGGTTAAAAATCACCAAGCTGGCAGTCTCACCTGGCAGGCTGGACAGTGTTGCTATACTTCTACCACAGAGATGAATATGACGTCACTAGGTATGTCTCCAAGGCTGTGTCCATGGTGGTTTAGCGCTTAGTTTTGATTATGACAATAATCCAAGACAGTTTATAAGTGTATTAACCAGGATACTGACGTAGTCACACGTGAAACCTGCAGTGATACTCAGTGAAACCTGCAGTGATACTCAGTGAAACCTGCAGTGATACTCAGTGAAACCTGCAGTGATACTCAGTGAAACCTGCAGTGATACTCAGTGAAACCTGCAGTGATATACAGTGAAACCTGCAGTGATACACAGTGAAACCTGCAGTGATACACAGTGAAACCTGCAGTGATACACAGTGAAACCTGCAGTGATACTCGGTTAGACATGCAGTGATACTCAGTGAGACATGCAGTGATACACAGTGAAACATGCAGTGAAACATATGGAACGTACTGAGTGTTGTGAAACGAGCACAAAAACATTTGTTGGAATTTAATATGAAACTTAGTAAAGTATCGAGAGGCAGTGAACAAGTGAAGCACTGACACTTGTAGTGATGCAGTGATACATGCAGTGAAACAGTACTGGCGCACCATACCTGCAGTGAACGATGATAGGGCAAGATCGACCTCGATATGACTTGTTCACTTTCCTGTAAAGTAATAAAGTAAGTTATTATCAAACAACTTTACTACTACAAGTAAATAATAACTTCAGATACACTAAACTTGCAGGTGAGAACAACAACATTAACCAATTTATCAGATGTGTGGTGAACAATGACGGATAATCCACTTTCACAACTATGATAAACAAATTGATCTGTAAGAGTCTACCCTAGGTGACACAAGTGTTGGGAGACAGAATACTGGAAACTCACTCACTCTCTCTCTCTCTCTCTCTCTCTCTCTCTCTCTCTCTCTCTCTCTCTCTCTCTCTCTCTCTCTCTCTCTCTCTCTCTCTCTCTCGGAACCCAGGTTAATGCGCAGTACAAATTCTTTGATCCTAAAACTTATTTTAAAATTAGTTTTAGGTCATAGGTTGGTAGACAGCAGCCGCCCAGAGAGGTACTACCGTCCTGTCGAGTGTGAAACGGAAACCTGTAATTGTTTTACATGACGGTAGGATTGCTGGTGTCTGTTTTTTCTGTGCCATAAACACGCGGGATACTAGGTATGTCTTGCTACTTCTACTTACACTTAGGTCACACTACACATGCATGTACACGTGTATATATATATATATATATATATATATATATATATATATATATATATATATATATATATATATATATATATATATATATATACACACACACACATATATATACACACACACACCCATCTGGGTTTTCTTCTATTTTCTTAATAGTTCTTCTAATCTCCATGGGTAAGTGGGACAGAATTCTTCCTCCGTAAGCTATGCATATAGTAAGATATATATGGCTTACGCCAGGAGCAAGGGGTTCGTGACCCCTTCTTCTTAGGCCACCCTCTGCCTCGTAGGATACTCCCGGTTTGTTGAAAGGATATATATCCAAAACAACCAAATATGCAACACTTCAATCTCCTGATGTGTTGATTGCAACATGAAAGACAGAGCTATCATTCAGCTCCCCCCGTGGTTGTTTTGCATATGATGTTAATATGACTCACGAAATCGTAATGACACGATTGCTAACAAACCACACCACAACGCGACGGTCTGGAGTTTTGAGACTCTGATCGCGGGTTCTATCCCCGCCCGTGGTATGGTTTATGATGTTAATGTGAGTACTAATAACACAGATATAACACTGACGCTCTATATATAACATGTAAATAACAGATATAGGTATGTATATTTCCAGATTTTTCGTTAAAATGTTGGAAAACAAAATTCTGATCATTTCACTAAAAAGGAATAAATTTTTTTTTCCACCTTAGCCACCGTCTGCCATCACTTGCTTACAACTGCTTGATCTTCTCTCGCCTGTTGCATGCTTCTTTTATTACCTGTTGATCTCTCACACCTGTAGTCTAGGTGTCATGGTTATCAAGGTAGCACAGGTATTGTTTGTAACGGCTTGACAAAGCTCCTGGAGAGCGAAAGAAAGAAAGAAACGTCAATGTTTGCTACGTAATCTTCCAGGACGGAAGGTCAATGTTTGCTACGTAATCTTCCAGGACGGAAGGTCAATGTTTGCTACGTAATCTTCCAGGACGGAAGGTCAATGTTTGCTACGTAATCTTCCAGGACGGAAGGTCAATGTTTGCTACGTAATCTTCCAGGACGGAAGGTCAATGTTTGCTACGTAATCTTCCGGGAAGTTAGGAAGGTCAGTATTTGTTACGTTTTCTCAACTGAAGCATCAATATATCAACTCAAAACTTGATGAAGATCAGCACAGATCGAAACTTTGTCCGGTAAGGCTTTCTCTGCTGTTTGTGTTGCCTTGTTATTATACTTACCAACTAGAGGTCACTGTTGTGTGGAGACACTTCCAGAGAGCCTCCTGAGTCGTTCTGGCACTCATTGAGGCCTGAGTGCCAGGACTGGCTCAACTGAAGTTGAGTCCCCGTGCCTTTCATAAGGCTGCCCCGCCATAGGGCTGTAAGCGGTGCTCCACTTGACGTGAATGCTCACCGTGCCCCTGCCATAGGGCTGTTAACGGTACATCACTTGTACCAACTTATGACACTCCTTCGAGAGCCACTGCCGGGTCACCACGTGGAGAACACCCGGGCCAGGACCCGTCCTGGCAAACCTATATGAACATGAACATGTGTAACAGTAGGGAAGCAAACCACAGCGTCTGGTGGCTTCACATAGGCCTGGCCACCTAAGTGTTGTGGGTTATCCTGTGTAGCAGGAGGACGGTGTCGAGGTTGGAGGAAGAGAGGCCCTCGCTCACCCATCACTTTTGTGACTATGCAATTCCTTACAGCACATAATTGCAAAAATCACAAAAATGATGAGGGAGCAGAGGGTGAGGCGTCGTTACGAAATCCACGTGACAACCAGACACACACACAGATGTCTTCCATTACTGGTAGTCGTTCCTGGTAGTTGTTTTGGCTGTTTAGCAATACTCCGACATGATTTCCATATATAACCTCAAGAATACTTTTTTTTCCCTTAAAAAATCGAAGAAACGCGTTTAGATTCTGGTGAAGGGATTTGATCCAAAAAATTACAGCTGCCCTCCCATTCCTTGGATTAAACTTAATTACCTCCCATTCCCAAGACTGTATGACCTCTATGTATCTAGTTCTTCCCCATGAGTATAATAATGCATCTAGGTACAGTGCCTGCACACTCAATGATGGCGATGTAGACCAGAGGGTCATTTAAATCCTGACGTCTGTGTACTTGCAAGACATTTTACTGACTTAATTAAGGATGGTAGTTAATGCGTTTCTTTGAGTTACCCTATGTGGGGAAAAAGATTTAAAATTATTATTATTATGTGTATATATATATATATATATATATATATATATATATATATATATATATATATATATATATATATATATATATATATTTTATATTTTGTGTGTGTGTGTGTGTGTCAACATTTTGTCAAAGGCACTTGTCAAGTAGACACGTGTGTGTGTGTACTCACTCACCTATTTGTGGTTGCAGGGGTCGAGTCTTAGCTCCTGGCTCCTGTGTGTAGGTGCATGTGTGTGTGTAAAACAACTGTGAAAAAATGGTGAGTTTCCAAGCGCTTTCGTGATTTCTCACATTATCAAGGACCAGTGACAAATCACGAAAGTGCTTGGAATTTCACTGCTTTTTCACAGTGGTTAAGTGGTGGAGAGAGAGGGAGGTTATCTCCCAATAACTTCTGGTGGAATAATGAGCCTTACCTTCTGAACTCAAGTAGCGCCTTGGTTGAGGCTGGAGTACCGGAGTCTGGCCAGGAGAGGAAGTGGAACTGGGTGACGGTGCGGGTCTCCCCAGTACGCACGTTCTTCAGATAGAAGGAACGTACCAGGTAGTCGTCGCACCAGATGTGTTCAGATACCAGGTGTACCTGTGGAAGGCGCAGGCACGGGGGCCTTGTTAGCTACACTCCTCGGGGGAAACAGAATGATTATATGGTGTGGGTAGTGTGACAACACTAGCTACGTTACTGCTGGGTTAAGTCTGACTGCACGTTCTCTGTGTATACACACACTGACATAGACATCCTGGTGTATATACACAGATATACATCTCTTGTCGTATATACCCTGTAACTTCTCCGGGAAGAATAATGGTGACTTATAACAAGTTTAGTTAGTTTGATCCCATGTGTCTACACGAAGGAGATACACTCGTAAACGATAAAGAGTAAAAACAATAAATGCAATAAAACATTTTCAACATAGAAGAACATTGTGTATTTTTTTTTTTTGGAATGTTTGGGAATTTCTAAGATTAACTCTGTAAATACTTCATGTTATAAGTAATGCCCTGATGTTGAAGAGCTCTTGATTCAAGGAACTGGCGTATCCCTCCTTTACCTTCAATCAGACCTAATTACCTTTCATTCCTCAGCTTCTTTATGACCTGCTAACATACATAATTGTCAAACCAAACCAATTGTCTTTGCATCGTTGTCTTGGCATCAGCGGACGGAGGATCAAGTCTTCACAGTGCTTGTGGTAAGTGGCCCGCACGGGTTTACTGCGCTATAAAGGAATAATATACTGTAATGAAGATTTTAACTTGGTGTTCTCAGAGACAGCAATGATATGTAGTAACTTGTGTCTGACACTGTAGTAACTTGTGTCTGGCACTGTAGTAACTTGTGTCTGACACTGTAGTAACTTGTGTCTGACACTGTAGTAACTTGTGTCTGACACTGTAGTAACTTGTGTCTGACACTGTAGTAACTTGTGTCTGACACTGTAGTAACTTGTGTCTGACACTGTAGTAACTTGTGTCTGACACTGTAGTAACTTGTGTCTGACACTGTAGTAACTTGTGTCTGACACTGTAGTAACTTGTGTCTGACACTGTAGTAACTTGTGTCTGACACTGTAGTAACTTGTGTCTGACACTGTAGTAACTTGTGTCTGACACTGTAGTAACTTGTCTGACACTGTAGTAACTTGTGTCTGACACTGTAGTAACTTGTGTCTGACACTGTAGTAACTTGTGTCTGACACTGTAGTAACTTGTGTCTGACACTGTAGTAACTTGTCTGACACTGTAGTAACTTGTGTCTGACACTGTAGTAACTTGTCTGACACTGTAGTAACTTGTGTCTGACACTGTAGTAACTTGTGTCTGACACTGTAGTAACTTGTCTGACACTGTAGTAACTTGTGTCTGACACTGTAGTAACTTGTCTGACACTGTAGTAACTTGTGTCTGACACTGTAGTAACTTGTGTCTGACACTGTAGTAACTTGTCTGACACTGTAGTAACTTGTCTGACACTGTAGTAACTTGTGTCTGACACTGTAGTAACTTGTGTCTGACACTGTAGTAACTTGTGTCTGACACTGTAGTAACTTGTGTCTGACACTGTAGTAACTTGTGTCTGACACTGTAGTAACTTGTGTCTGACACTGTAGTAACTTGTCTGACACTGTAGTAACTTGTGTCTGACACTGTAGTAACTTGTGTCTGACACTGTAGTAACTTGTCTGACACTGTAGTAACTTGTGTCTGACACTGTAGTAACTTGTGTCTGACACTGTAGTAACTTGTGTCTGACACTGTAGTAACTTGTCTGACACTGTAGTAACTTGTCTGACACTGTAGTAACTTGTGTCTGACACTGTAGTAACTTGTGTCTGACACTGTAGTAACTTGTGTCTGACACTGTAGTAACTTGTCTGACACTGTAGTAACTTGTGTCTGACACTGTAGTAACTTGTCTGACACTGTAGTAACTTGTCTGACACTGTAGTAACTTGTCTGACACTGTAGTAACTTGTGTCTGACACTGTCGTAACTTGTGTCTGACACTGTAGTAACTTGTGTCTGACACTGTAGTAACTTGTGTCTGACACTGTAGTAACTTGTGTCTGACACTGTAGTAACTTGTGTCTGACACTGTAGTAACTTGTGTCTGACACTGTAGTAACTTGTGTCTGACACTGTAGTAACTTGTGTCTGACACTGTAGTAACTTGTGTCTGACACTGTAGTAACTTGTGTCTGACACTGTAGTAACTTGTGTCTGACACTGTAGTAACTTGTGTCTGACACTGTAGTAACTTGTGTCTGACACTGTAGTAACTTGTGTCTGACACTGTCGTAACTTGTGTCTGACACTGTAGTAACTTGTGTCTGACACTGTAGTAACTTGTGTCTGACACTGTAGTAACTTGTGTCTGACACTGTAGTAACTTGTGTCTGACACTGTCGTAACTTGTGTCTGACACTGTAGTAACTTGTGTCTGACACTGTAGTAACTTGTGTCTGACACTGTAGTAACTTGTGTCTGACACTGTAGTAACTTGTGTCTGACACTGTAGTAACTTGTCTGACACTGTAGTAACTTGTGTCTGACACTGTAGTAACTTGTGTCTGACACTGTAGTAACTTGTGTCTGACACTGTAGTAACTTGTGTCTGACACTGTAGTAACTTGTGTCTGACACTGTAGTAACTTGTGTCTGACACTGTAGTAACTTGTGTCTGACACTGTCGTAACTTGTGTCTGACACTGTAGTAACTTGTGTCTGACACTGTAGTAACTTGTGTCTGACACTGTAGTAACTTGTGTCTGACACTGTAGTAACTTGTGTCTGACACTGTAGTAACTTGTGTCTGACACTGTCGTAACTTGTGTCTGACACTGTCGTAACTTGTATCTGACACTGTCGTAACTTGTATCTGACACTGTCGTAACTTGTATCTGACACTATGTAGTAACTTGTATCTGACACTATGTAGTAACTTGTATCTGACACTATGTACTAACTTGTATCTGACACTGTAGTAACTTGTATCTGACACTGTAGTAACTTGTATCTGACACTATGTAGTAACTTGTATCTGACACTGTAGTAACTTGTATCTGACACTATGTAGTAACTTGTTTCTGACACTATGTAGTAACTTGTATCTGACACTGTAGTAACTTGTATCTGACACTATGTAGTAACTTGTATCTGACAGTATATAATAACTTATTTTCCATCACTAAGTTAAATTAGTTTGGTGAAGGCTCCTAAAAGATGCCAGATATTATACAGTGTCACACACTCGTTACTACGTACTGTCAGATACAGGTTATATATATATATATATATATATATATATATATATATATATATATAAAATATATATATATATATATATAATCCCTTTATAAAGCAGTAAAGCAACGTAAGTCACAGCACAGTCACTGTGAAGGCTCGATCTTCCGTCCACTAACATAACACCAAGACGATGATAATTCTTCAGAAAATGGAAACCTGATTTTTTTCAGTCAAAAAATGTTCCTTTCAATGGTCGTCTTGATGCTTCAGTGAAAGGCTTCTGATTTGAGGAAATGGAGCTATTTTCCTTTTCCTTTGAATATGACTACTTCCATTCCTCAGGAATTGTTTAATCCCTGCGAGTTTAACGCTTCCCCATGAAAGTGTTAATAATTTTCATAAAAATGCCGATAATTTCACGAAAATGTTGATAATTTTCATGTGTGTAATAGATAGTGACCTCGTAGATGTGGTAGAGGTCGCTGCCTTCCTCAGGCCAGTAGCGGTGACAGAAGGCGTGGCCGTTCTCGGTAAGTCTGGTGAGCATCACCAGGACAACACTGCCTTGCTCCCACACTAGCTGCCAGAAGTCTGAAGCTGTGCTCGCCAGAGGGCCCTGGGTCGCTATGTACGCTGGGTTACGTGGATCGTGGTCAGTCTGTGCCAGGAAGAGACACAAAGGTTACATTACTTAGGGTCCAGAGGGGTTAGTAAAGCAAGTTACGTGGGTGGGGAGCTCAAAATATTTCCAGTTTTTGTTAGTGGTGAACATGCCTTGGTATCATGGGCAGAGAGGAACAGAAGAGAAAAAGGTAGGGGAGTAGAGAAGAGACAATGAGGCAAGAGAGAGAGAGGGGAAAGGGAGAAATGAGATGGAGGTAATAGAGGAGCAAAGGGAAAGGAAGCAGAGAGGACAGAATGAGGTAAGAGACAGAGGAAAGGGGGGGGGGGATGAGCTAGCATGGGAAAGGTAAGTTAAGAACAGACAGGATATAAGCGGCGTTGACCCCAGGAACACCCTCCAGGTATACTCCAGCTTTGAATACTCACGATGGAGGAAGCATTTATATAATCAGATCCGTTGAGGTTGGAGTGGGCGTTGAGTACGACTCTGTTGTGGTCGTAAGGCACGGCGTCTGGGTACCTGTTCTTCTGGTTGTTCTCCGGCTGTGGGTAAGAACGAACACCTCTTAATACCAGAGAACAAGCACAAGAGTGCACTTTCTGTAGTGGTGGGTGAAGAACCACCACTGTGAACCATTGACACATGCTAACATGATCAGTACACAACCCACAAACACAGGGGAAACTTTTGACGACGTTTGGGTCAGACTTGGACCATAAACGAGTCACACACTGTACAGGTTATTTGAGTAGTGTTGCAGTCACGGTATTGTGCCTTTTTATTCTTTAAAATGGTCACTTAGAATGACACGATGTTTAGTTAACACAACATTTGGTTAAAATGACATATTAAATATGAAATAATTAGTTTAAATGAGAGTTAACACTAGGTAATATCTAAAATGAGAGTAGGATGTTTGTTGTATTATATAATATACCATACATTGTCGCTGTTGTATTATCATTATTACTACAATCAAAACTAAGCGCTAAACCCACAAGGGTCATGCAGCGTGTAGCTGTTGTATTATATACTGTATCCCCATATGAATACAGTTCGTGCTGAAGGGAATACATTTCGTGTTGCAGGATATACAGTTCGTGTTGCAGGATATACAGTTCATGGTGCAGGATATACAGTTCGTGTTGCACGATATACAGTTCGTATTGCAGGATATACAGTTCGTGTTGCAGGATATACAGCTCGTGTTGCAGGATATACAGTGTGCAATATTTCGCTACAACTGCACAAAAGTATACACATACATACATTCTCATTTTAAATAAGCATCTCATGTTAACATGTCATTTGAAGAAAACATTTCGAACTTAACATATACTATATAATATAACAGGAACCATATATTATATACTATATAATACAACAGGAACCATATATTATATACTATATAATACAACAGGAACCATATATTATATACTATATAATATAACAGGAACCATATATTATATACTATATAATACAACAGGAACCATATATTATATACTATATAATACAACAGGAACCATATATTTATATACTATATAATATAACAGGAACCATATATTATATACTATATAATACAACAGGAACCATATATTATATACTATATAATACAACAGGAACCATATATTATATACTATATAATACAACAGGAACCATATATTATATACTATATAATACAACAGGAACCATATATTATATACTATATAATACAACAGGAACCATATATTATATACTATATAATACAACAGGAACCATATATTATATACTATATAATACAACAGGAACCATATATTATATACTATATAATATAACAGGAACCATATATTATATACTATATAATACAACAGGAACCATATATTATATACTATATAATACAACAGGAACCATATATACTATATAATACAACAGGAACCATATATACTATATAATACAACAGGAACCATATATACTATATAATACAACAGGAACCATATATACTATATAATACAACAGGAACCATATATACTATATAATACAATCAGGAACCATATATACTATATAATACAACAGGAACCATATATACTATATAATACAACAGGAACCATATATACTATATAATACAACAGGAACACATATATAACTATATATAATACAACAGGAACCATATATACTATATAATACAACAGGAACCATATATACTATATAATACAACAGGAACCATATATACTATATAATACAACAGGAACCATATATACTATATAATACAACAGGAACCATATATACTATATAATACAACAGGAACCATATATACTATATAATACAACAGGAACCATATATACTATATAATACAACAGGAACCATATATACTATATAATACAACAGGAACCATATATACTATATAATACAACAGGAACCATATATACTATATAATACAACAGGAACCATATATACTATATAATACAACAGGAACCATATATACTATATAATACAACAGGAACCTATATACTATATAATACAACAGGAACATATATACTATATATACAACAGGAACCATATACTATATAATACAACAGGAACCATATATACTATATAATACAACAGGAACCATATATACTATATAATACAACAGGAACCATATATACTATATAATACAACAGGAACCATATATACTATATAATACAACAGGAACCATATATACTATATAATACAACAGGAACCATATATACTATATAATACAACAGGAACCATATATACTATATAATACAACAGGAACCATATATACTATATAATACAACAGGAACCATATATACTATATAATACAACAGGAACCATATATACTATATAATACAACAGGAACCATATATACTATATAATACAACAGGAACCATATATACTATATAATACAACAGGAACCATATATACTATATAATACAACAGGAACCATATATACTATATAATACAACAGGAACCATATATACTATATAATACAACAGGAACCATATATACTATATAATACAACAGGAACCATATATACTATATAATACAACAGGAACCATATATACTATATAATACAACAGGAACCATATATACTATATAATACAACAGGAACCATATATACTATATAATACAACAGGAACCATATATACTATATAATACAACAGGAACCATATATACTATATAATACAACAGGAACCATATATACTATATAATACAACAGGAACCATATATACTATATAATACAACAGGAACCATATATACTATATAATACAACAGGAACCATATATACTATATAATACAACAGGAACCATATATCTATATAATACAACAGGAACCATATATACTATATAATACAACAGGAACCATATATACTATATAATACAACAGGAACCATATATACTATATAATACAACAGGAACCATATATACTATATAATACAACAGGAACCATATATACTATATAATACAACAGGAACCATATATACTATATAATACAACAGGAACCATATATACTATATAATACAACAGGAACCATATATACTATATAATACAACAGGAACCTATATATACATATAATACATACAACAGGAACCATATATACTATATAATACAACAGGAACCATATATACTATATAATACAACAGGAACCATATATACTATATAATACAACAGGAACCATATATACTATATAATACAACAGGAACCATATATACTATATAATACAACAGGAACCATATATACTATATAATACAACAGGAACCATATATACTATATAATACAACAGGAACCAATATACTATATAATACAACAGGAACCATATATACTATATAATACAACAGGAACCATATATACTATATAATACAACAGGAACCATATATACTATATAATACAACAGGAACCATATATTATATAGTACATGATACAAAAGGAACGATATATACTATACAACAGTAAAACTAAGGTACACTGTCACAGTTTCATACAGTAAGGAGGTACTGTATAATACAACAGTGAGAAATGATGTTAAACTTCATAATACAACAGTGAGACAAAAGAATATTCTTACAGTATATAACATATCTAGAGTAAGATGTATATACATTATTCGTCATTAGACACACCACAGGACGTAATCAAGATTACCAGGTACTGTGTTCACAAGGAACATGTAAAGCCATGGTATGTAACAGTAGCAGTGTGTAGGAGTGCACTTACCTGTTTGTGGTTGCAGGGGTCGAGTCACAGCTCCTGGCCCCTTGTGTGTGGTGGATAGCATACTAGGGCTGAATGATCTATATGGATTTAGCGCTTTTCGTGAATACAGTGCTAGAGTAAATAATACTTCTTGCTATAGTAACCTCGTATATGTCACTTAGCAGAAGTAGTGGTGTGGAGGCTTGATCCTCCGTCCGCCAAATAAATACATTCTCTGGCCTCGTGGTATAAGCTCTCGCTTCACACGGTGAGGGTTCGGGTTCGATTCCCGGCGATGGGGTGGAAACATGGGATGTTTTTCCTTACACCGGTTGTCTATGTTCATCCATCAGTAAAATGGGTACCTGGGTGTTAATCGACTGGTGTGGGTCGCATCCTGGGATAAAAACTGACCTAATGTGCCCGAAATGCTCTGCATAACAAGCGTATAATAGTATGTCGTTGATGTCAGCTATGGTCTGTATACCTTGTACATGTACTTGTAGTAAATAAAGATATATTATTATAATCTTTGTTGCAGTCAACACAGAGTCCAACGCCAAACTCTTCCATTCATTTTTTAGTTAATGTCTGTTATATACGAATGTAAAACAAATTATTGCAAAGGATGAGAAACATTACACAGTCAAGAACAAACACCTTGTAGCATCATCCCTGCCCCATCTTGACCTCTCTTTCATCTTTGTTCTATCCCTACGTTATTCTTTCCCTTATCCCCGTCTCTCTCCCCTGGTTCCTTCCTTCTCTGGCTCCTCCCTTCTTCCCTTAACTTTCAGGTTCCTCCTTGACCCTGGTCCCCGCCAGGTAATAAGCTGGTTCTCACCTTGAGGGCGAGGGTGGTGGCGCAGGGCTCGGCCTCGTAAGCACACAGGGCGATCCACTCCTGCTCGAGACGATCCTTGTTCTTCAGGTGGTCCTCCATGTACGACTGTAAAGCAATAGTCTCAAGTGTTACTGGTGTAAGTGTCGTGTTCAAGGGTGGAGGGAAAAGAATATATACAACACTGGTAGTGCCGCCTAAGACACTGGAGGCGGAAGTATACCGAGGGTGAGAGATTATACACTGATAGTGAGGATAAAAGTCTATACACAGGGGGAGAAAGAGTGATCAAGCTCTGAGCAGGGATTGAGAATTCACACTGAGGTTGGGGGTGCAACAGGGCATAAGTGGAGTTAGAGGGTAAGAGGTGGTTATCTGTTCAGTTCTAGGAATAATGGCGTCCACGACCCTGTCTGAGTGAAGCAGAGACGATGATGGGAAGGTGTAGATGAGAGAGAGAGAGAGAGAAGTGTCATCATGTAAGTGATGACAGGATGAAGCAGGTGTAGCCGATGCTTCAACAGGTGTATAAAGTTGTACACCCTCTCAACAATTGTACAAGGTGTTAGGTGTTTCACACCTGATCAACACCTATGCAAGTTTTTACCAGGTGACTTCCATTAATTAACGACGAGGAGTTCTCACAGGTGACACTTCACTGTCTTCAAAAGGTCTCTCAAGTTCATTTTAAAATTTGTGATCTCAGCTGAAAGGTGATCTTTTTTTTTAATAGACGAATAAAAATGGCACCTCATGGAAAGTTAGTAAAAAAAAAAACTAAATAAAACCCAGTTTTGACGTACGTTAATTATGAAGCAAGAGAGACCACCTGTTGTGTGTGTGTGTGTGTGTGTGTGTGTGTGTGTGTGTGTGTGTGTGTGTGTGTGTGTGTTTGTGTTTGCTGAGTGTTGCGTGTCATGTATGTTGAGCGTTCTGTGTTATCATGTGTGTGTTGTCATGTGTGCTGTGCTGTGTCATGTGTGTGTATCATGTGTGTGTTGTGTGTCATGTGTGCTGTGTTGTGTGTCATGTGTGTTGTGTTGTGTGTCATGTGTGTTGTGTTGTGTGTCATGTGTGTTGTGTTGTGTGTCATGTGTGTTGTGTGTCATGTGTGCTGTGCTGTGTCATGTGTATCATGTGTGCTGTGTTGTGTGTCATGTGTGTTGTGTTGTGTGTCATGTGTGTTGTGTTGTGTGTCATGTGTGTGTTGTGTGTCATGTGTGTTGTGTTGTGTGTCATGTGTGTTGTCATGTGTGTTGTGTGTCATGTGTGTTGTGTCATGTGTGTTGTGTGTCATGTGTTTTGTGTGTCATGTGTGCTGTGTTGTGTGTCATGTGTGTGTGTGTATTCTAGTTGAAGTCTCGATAAGTTTACCAGGTTTAGAAGGTATCGGCCTCACCTGCTTCATTAAGACTATAATTTACCTGACCACTAACACCAAGAATAATTTAATCCCTCAAACAGGGATCAAAGCAAACTCTGGTCGTATACACACTGAGAGATATACACCTCTCTGTGTATATCTACACTCATCAGTTATACCCTTTCCTCCCTGTGCCAACCACACGTGGCTCATTTAGGTCACAAACGACTAAACACCAACATGGAGGCCTCGTTTGTTCAACCAGCTGAACGATCACTAATTGCTGATAATTCCTGTAATTGCTTCATCCATATCATCTAATGGCTTGTTTTTTCACCATCACTCTGATGCTGATAAATTCCCACCAGACCTTAACGTCACTGACAGATGAGTGTGAAAAAGAGAATTATTTTTCATTTATTGAGTGAAGGATATGTATACTACACCGAGGTATATATATATATATATATATATATATATATATATATATATATATATATATATATATATGGCGTGTGTGTGTGCGCAAAAAATCACGAGCAAGTGATGCAAGACTTGAAAGATAACTTTAGGCCTTTCGTGTTGCAATCAACACATCAGGAACTTGCAGTGTTGCAAGAAAGAGGATCAAATCCGAGCAAACACGTTCAGAGTGTTTTTGCTAGCATATGTGGTTTTGACAGTGGGTGTTGTGGGGGAGGCAGTGGGTGTTGTGGGGAGGCAGTGAGTGTTGTGGGGGAGGCAGTGGGTATTGTGGGGGAGGCAGTGGGTGCTGATGGGAGGCAGTGAGTGTTGTGGGGGAGGCAGTGGGTATTGTGGGGGAGGCAGTGAGTGTTGTGGGGAGGCAGTGAGTATTGTGGGGGAGGCAGTGGGTGTTGTGGGGAGGCAGTGAGTGTTGTGGGGAGGCAGTGAGTGTTGTGGGGAGGCAGTGAGTGTTGTGGGGAGGCAGTGAGTGTTGTGGGGTAGGCAGTGGGTGCTGAGGGGAGGCAGTGAGTGTTGTGGGGGAGGCAGTGGGTATTGTGGGGGAGGCAGTGGGTGCTGATGGGAGGCAGTGAGTGTTGTGGGGGAGGCAGTGAGTGTTGCGGGGGAGGCAGTGAGTGTTGTGTGGGAGGCAGTGGGTGCTGTGGGGGAGGCAGTGGGTGCTGAGGGGAGGCAGTGGGCGCTGTCGAGGAGGCAGTGGGTGCTGTGGGGAGGCAGTGGGTGTTGTGAGGGAGGCAGTGGGTGTTGTGGGGGAGGGAGTGGGTGCTGATGGGAGGCAGTGAGTGTTGTGGGGGAGGCAGTGGGTGCTGTGGGGGAGGCAGTGGATGCTGAGGGGAGGCAGTGGGTGTGGGGAGGCAGTGAGTGTTGTGGGGAGGCAGTGGGTGTTGTGGGGGAGGCAGTGAGTGTTGTGGGGAGGCAGTGGGTTTTGTGGGGGAGGCCAAGAAGACAGATGATAACGGAGATGGGTCAGTGAAAAGGAGAGAGAGAACTGAAGAATACATAGAAGTATTAACAAGAAACACTGAAGACAAAACACACAGAACAAGGAACACACATAAAATGACAAGGAACATACACGCGAGGACAAACGCGTAAAATATGGCTAAAACACTGATAAAAATTGACACAGAACACATACTAAAAGAGAGGATAAGTATGACAGCAACAATTAAAATTTCCCCAAAAAGCAGTGGAGAGAAAAACCCAGTGTGTGTGTGTGTGTGTGTGTGTGTGTGTGTGTGTGTGTGTGTGTGTGTGTGTGTGTGTGTCTAGTCACTGTGTACGTCACTCACACCTCACTCTCCGCCTATATACACTGTCTTTCTAACCTCTGGATGTTAGAAGTGAACAAGGTCTCAGGAGCGAAACGTTTTCTTAATATGTCCTAGTGTTTGTTGACGTGTCTCTCTAAAGCATTATATCGGTATTACCTCAGTTCACACTATGAGAGGTTACGTATGTGTAGATGCACGAGCAAGAGTTATGTTCCTGGTGTCTCTCTCTCTCCATTATTTACTTTGCATTGTTCATTTTCCCATATTTTTTTAGCACTTGTTCCTCTTATAATTCATTATATCTACAACTCTATGGAGAAAAATTTTCTTATATCCTTTGTCTACACTTTTTTTCTACAATTTTGCCTTTTGTTTTTGTCTTGTGGCACCACTACGACATCTTTGTTACGTAGTCTTTCATGTTCTTATATAACAATATATGTGGCTGTCTCCTGTTTCTCCCTTGTCACCACCGACAACATCTTCAGTGTTACGTAAAAGAACACTAGTGCAACTAATGCATCATTTTATTGTGGCAACGTTTCGCTCTCCAGGAGCTTTATCAGGTTTTGGTAATGGCTTAACAAAGCTCCTGGAGAGCGAAATTTTGACACAATTAAATGTCGCATTAGTTGCACTTAGTGTCTTTTTACGTAAGACAGTGTTGGTGATAACTCTGTCAACATTAATATAATGTTTAGTGTTAACAACCTTCCATCATCAGTCTCTAAGTCATCTTGTTGCTCTCTGAACCTCTTCTACCATTCCTGTGCTCTTACAGGTACAGCCATCACACACACCTGCTATATATGCCAGTTGTCGCCGGTGTTGCAAACAGGTTATACAAGGTTTCTTTATTTTTGAAAAGTAATGTATAGTCTGCCAGCGTAGCCTTGACTTCCTCAGTCACATTTATATTATCTAGTGACAATTTCTTATTAATAACTGCTCGGTCCCTTCTCTTAAGTATTTTGTTACACAGTCTTAATTCATGTAACTTGCTTTAAATTTCTCACCTTAACAGAGGTGATTTAATTTAATGTAGATAAATGCTTGATCTTTTATCCTACTCAATTATTCAAATTATCCTGTTATTTAATGTGATTTTTATGTTATATTTTATCCGAGATTTCTGCATCGTCCACGTATATATTAATATAATTTTATAACTACTTCTGGTAAGTCATATATATATATATATATATATATATATATATATATATATATATATATGTAAATCATTATCGGTGCAAGTGGCAGCACTCGTGGCAGCACTCGTGGCAGCACTCGTGGCAGCCCTCGTGGCAGCACTCGTGGCAGCCCTCGTGGCAGCACTCGTGGCAGCACCCGTGACAGCACTCGTGGCAGCCCTCGTGGCAGCACTCGTGGCAGCACCCGTGACAGCACTCGTGGCAGCCCTCGTGGCAGCACTCGTGGCAGCACTCGTGGCAGCACCCGTGACAGCACTCGTGGCAGCCCTCGTGGCAGCACTCGTGGCAGCACCCGTGACAGCACTCGTGGCAGCACTCGTGGCAGCACCCGTGACAGCACTCGTGGCAGCCCTCGTGGCAGCACTCGTGGCAGCACTACGTGGCAGCCCTCGTGGCAGCACTCGTGGCAGCCCTCGTGGCAGCCCTCGTGGCAGCACTCGTGGCAGCCCTCGTGGCAGCACTCGTGGCAGCACTCGTGGCAGCCCTCGTGGCAGCACTCGTGGCAGCCCTCGTGGCAGCACTCGTGGCAGCCCTCGTGGCAGCCCTCGTGGCAGCACTCGTGGCAGCACTCGTGGCAGCCCTCGTGGCAGCACTCGTGGCAGCCCTCGTGGCAGCCCTCGTGGCAGCCCTCGTGGCAGCACTCGTGGCAGCACTCGTGGCAGCCCTCGTGGCAGCACTCGTGGCAGCCCTCGTGGCAGCCCTCGTGGCAGCACTCGTGGCAGCCCTCGTGGCAGCACTCGTGGCAGCCCTCGTGGCAGCACTCGTGGCAGCCCTCGTGGCAGCACTCGTGGCAGCACTCGTGGCAGCCCTCGTGGCAGCCCTCGTGGCAGCCCTCGTGGCAGCACTCGTGGCAGCCCTCGTGGCAGCACTCGTGGCAGCCCTCGTGGCAGCCCTCGTGGCAGCCCTCGTGGCAGCACTCGTGGCAGCACTCGTGGCAGCCCTCGTGGCAGCACTCGTGGCAGCACTCGTGGCAGCACTCGTGGCAGCACTCGTGGCAGCCCTCGTGGCAGCCCTCGTGGCAGCACTCGTGGCAGCCCTCGTGGCAGCACTCGTGGCAGCCCTCGTGGCAGCCCTCGTGGCAGCCCTCGTGGCAGCACTCGTGGCAGCACTCGTGGCAGCCCTCGTGGCAGCATCGTGGCAGCCCTCGTGGCAGCACTCGTGGCAGCCCTCGTGCAGCACTCGTGGCAGCACTCGTGGCAGCACTCGTGGCAGCACTCGTGGCAGCCCTCGTGGCAGCACTCGTGGCAGCCCTCGTGGCAGCACTCGTGGCAGCCCTCGTGGCAGCCCTCGTGGCAGCCCTCGTGGCAGCACTCGTGGCAGCCACTCGTGGCAGCACTCGTGGCAGCACTCGTGGCAGCACTCGTGGCAGCCCTCGTGGCAGCACTCGTGGCAGCCCTCGTGGCAGCCCTCGTGGCAGCACTCGTGGCAGCACTCGTGGCAGCCCTCGTGGCAGCACTCGTGGCAGCCCTCGTGGCAGCACTCGTGGCAGCCTCGTGGCAGCACTCGTGGCAGCACTCGTGGCAGCACTCGTGGCAGCACTCGTGGCAGCCCTCGTGGCAGCACTCGTGGCAGCCCTCGTGGCAGGACTCGTGGCAGCCCTCGTGGCAGCCCTCGTGGCAGCCTCGTGGCAGCACTCGTGGCAGCACTCGTGGCAGCACTCGTGGCAGCACTCGTGGCAGCACTCGTGGCAGCCCTCGTGGCAGCACTCGTGGCAGCCCTCGTGGCAGCACTCGTGGCAGCCCTCGTGGCAGCCCTCGTGGCAGCACTCGTGGCAGCACTCGTGGCAGCCCTCGTGGCAGCACTCGTGGCAGCACTCGTGGCAGCACTCGTGGCAGCCCTCGTGGCAGCCCTCGTGGCAGCACTCGTGGCAGCACTCGTGGCAGCATCGTGGCAGCCCTCGTGGCAGCCCTCGTGGCAGCCCGTGGCAGCCCTCGTGGCAGCACTCGTGGCAGCCCTCGTGGCAGCACTCGTGGCAGCCCTCGTGGCAGCACTCGTGGCAGCACTCGTGGCAGCACTCGTGGCAGCACTCGTGGCAGCCCTCGTGGCAGCCCTCGTGGCAGCACTCGTGGCAGCCCTCGTGGCAGCACTCGTGGCAGCCCTCGTGGCAGCACTCGTGGCAGCACTCGTGGCAGCACTCGTGGCAGCCCTCGTGGCAGCCCTCGTGGCAGCCCTCGTGGCAGCCCTCGTGGCAGCACTCGTGGCAGCACTCGTGGCAGCACTCGTGGCAGCCCTCGTGGCAGCCCTCGTGGCAGCCCTCGTGGCAGCCTCGTGGCAGCACTCGTGGCAGCCCTCGTGGCAGCACTCGTGGCAGCCCTCGTGGCAGCCCTCGTGGCAGCACTCGTGGCAGCCCTCGTGGCAGCACTCGTGGCAGCCCTCGTGGCAGCACTCGTGGCAGCACTCGTGGCAGCACTCGTGGCAGCACTCGTGGCAGCACTCGTGGCAGCCCTCGTGGCAGCCCTCGTGGCAGCCCTCGTGGCAGCCCTCGTGGCAGCACTCGTGGCAGCCCTCGTGGCAGCCCTCGTGGCAGCACTCGTGGCAGCCCTCGTGGCAGCCTCGTGGCAGCACTCGTGGCAGCACTCGTGGCAGCACTCGTGGCAGCACTCGTGGCAGCCCTCGTGGCAGCACTCGTGGCAGCACTCGTGGCAGCACTCGTGGCAGCACTCGTGGCAGCCCTCGTGGCAGCACTCGTGGCAGCCCTCGTGGCAGCACTCGTGGCAGCACTCGTGGCAGCACTCGTGGCAGCCCTCGTGGCAGCACTCGTGGCAGCCCTCGTGGCAGCACTCGTGGCAGCACTCGTGGCAGCACTCGTGGCAGCACTGTGGCAGCACTCGTGGCAGCACTCGTGGCAGCACTCGTGGCAGCACTCGTGGCAGCACTCGTGGCAGCACTCGTGGCAGCACTCGTGGCAGCACTCGTGCAGCCCTCGTGGCAGCACTCGTGGCAGCCCTCGTGGCAGCACTCGTGGCAGCCCTCGTGGCAGCACTCGTGGCAGCACTCGTGGCAGCACTCGTGGCAGCCCTCGTGGCAGCACTCGTGGCAGCACTCGTGGCAGCCCTCGTGGCAGCACTCGTGGCAGCACTCGTGGCAGCACTCGTGGCAGCCCTCGTGGCAGCACTCGTGGCAGCACTCGTGGCAGCACTCGTGGCAGCACTCGTGGCAGCCCTCGTGGCAGCCCTCGTGGCAGCACTCGTGGCAGCCCTCGTGGCAGCACTCGTGGCAGCCCTCGTGGCAGCCCTCGTGGCAGCACTCGTGGCAGCACTCGTGGCAGCACTCGTGGCAGCCCTCGTGGCAGCCCTCGTGGCAGCACTCGTGGCAGCACTCGTGGCAGCACTCGTGGCAGCACTCGTGGCAGCCCTCGTGGCAGCACTCGTGGCAGCACTCGTGGCAGCACTCGTGGCAGCACTCGTGGCAGCACTCGTGGCAGCCCTCGTGGCAGCCCTCGTGGCAGCACTCGTGGCAGCCCTCGTGGCAGCACTCGTGGCAGCACTCGTGGCAGCCCTCGTGGCAGCACTCGTGGCAGCACTCGTGGCAGCCCTCGTGGCAGCACTCGTGGCAGCACTCGTGGCAGCACTCGTGGCAGCCCTCGTGGCAGCACTCGTGGCAGCACTCGTGGCAGCCCTCGTGGCAGCACTCGTGGCAGCACTCGTGGCAGCACTCGTGGCAGCCCTCGTGGCAGCCCTCGTGGCAGCACTCTGGTAACGTTTACCCACGAGGACATTTCTTCTTAATAACATCCAGATTTTCTTCACAACATCAGTGTGTCTCATCCACTGCAACATTACTTATATTCTTACACTATTTTTCAATTTGCAAATTAGTGTTCCCGGGAAACTCAGAAAAATCTTTCTTAATGTCTACATGAATACAATTGGTCTAACCATTATGCCCGTGACTATTGTAATTACTGGACTAATCTGTTATACATGAATTTACAGACCACAAGATCCGGCTGTTTACTAGTTAGAAAGCGTAATTTTCACAGTATTTTATCCACTTTCTTTTAATGTTCTTTCCAACATTCTAACATTGTCAGAGACACTGACCTATAGTTTAAAGGGTTTTCCCTTTTTTTTTTTTAATTTTTAAATATTGGTGCAGTGTGTCCTATCTACCTGCCAATTTTCCCAATAGTGTGAAATCATAAAAATTTTCCAGAGTGGATACCATAGCTTTTTCCTTATAGTCTTGTAAAAAAAAAATGACGATATACCGTCTGGTCCTATTGCCTCTTCTCAATCTTTCTATTTTTCATATGTAATATATCCTACTACATGGTCTTGAATGCTAACATCCACTAAGCATTAGGTCATCTGCTTAAAGCATCGATCTTCTTCCGTTCTCTTCTAAATTTAATTATCCAGTCTGCTCAGCTAAAAGCATTAACTACATTTCTTGTGCCAAGTCTTTCCCAAGAGTTTAGAACTGTTTGTATTATTATTATAATCAAAAAGAAGCGCTAAGCCACAAGGGCTATACAGCAGAACTGTTTGTAATCTTTAGTATTACAGGAAAAATATTCTAGCATTAATCTCCTTAGCCATAACCACCTGTTGTTGTCTCTCCTTCTCTTTATTGATTTTTGTATAATTTTCGATTTTAGCTTAACACTCTCCTAGCTCTTACATCTCAATGTTTTTAACATGTGAGATATTGTAAGCTAAGTGCCCCTCTTGTTCTGATTCTCTCTTCTGTCTACTTATACCAACATAACTCTTATGTTCTCTTCCAAGGCTTTTATTTAGCTCTTGATCTTCTGTAATACATCACTTTATTCTTATAATATTAAACTCAAACCTTCATAGGTTACAGTTCAGTTTTCAAACATAAGTTGTCCTTTTTTTTTTAATTTTACTGTCAGTTCCTCCTACCTTACCTGATTTTATGCTAATTTTGTCAGTTTGTCAATCCATCCATTTCTTTGCTGCTGATGTCAAGGTACTGATGTAGTATTATCTAGTTACACTGTAAACAAAGAGCTACTGTTTTCAATAATCTATCTTATAATATACTGAACTATCCTCACCCCAATAATTTTCCCTTTTGTATATTTCGGGACACCACTCACGTGTGTTGTTCTGCACTCTTAATTATAAACTAAGATATTCTTTCTCCAAACTATGAAGGTTGATGCCGTCTCACAACCACAGCAGTGTGTGTGTGTGTGTGTGTGTGTGTGTGTGTGTGTGTGTGTGTGTGTGTGTGTGTGTGTGTGTGTGTGTGTGTGTGTGATACAGATACATACCAGCACCATGTGTCCAGTAGATATGTCCATGTTAGACGCTACAGGTTCCTCGCTCCTGAAACAAATAACATCCTATAGGACTGAAACAAATATCCTTCAGGAATCTGAAACATCCTATAGGGGACTGCTAAAATATCATGCAGAGGACTGCTAAAACATCCTGCAGAGGACTGCTAAAACATCCTGAAACAAATATCGTAAATGATTCTATTGTCGTAGGTGCTTGTGAGAGGTAACGAGAGTTGCACTCAAGACTCTGGTTGTAGTTCTTTTCAAAAACTTGCATGTGTTACACGGCTGACAGCCACTGGGCAGTTTTAGCCATCTTTGTAGCCACCAAGACTGTATTGCTAGAGTGGAAAGACTGCAACTTGTGTCACTGCTTCGAGTCTCTGTACTCTATGAATTCACAGAGCTTACAAATCTCTCTCTCTTAGGTAAAACTGGTCAGTTAGCAAGAACTCATTTAAAATTAAGTCTAAAATTTTCTCTTATACATTTGAAGATATATATTTTTCATTTATGTTAAAGTAAAAATTAATAATTTTGTACCAAAAGAGCCTTAGAAAACTTACCTAACTTTATTATAGAAATTGCAATTTAATTTAGCCTAATCCAATGTATTTTAATCTAATGTATTTTAGAAAAGTTTACAATAATTTAATAAACACAATGAAATATATTTTTTTTCGTTAGGTTTAGAATTATTTCTGTGAAATTATTACATATACAAATTTTCGCTTGCCTTTTTCGGCAAGAAGAGCGTTGCTATTTAAGCCAAAATCGCAAGTTTTACCTATTCGGCACGACATACATATACACTCGTATCTTCAGAATCTGTCAGAAGTGAAGTATTTAATATAGACTAAAATATATACCAAAGATTTCTAGAGTCAAAATATAATTAAAAAAATACAATTACTCTAAGAAATCCAAATGTTAAGTAATATGAACAATTTACCAATAAAATCTAAAGATTCACTCACAGATTGTCAGTGAAGGTTAACAAGTAACAGAGACAACGACCGTAACAGCATAATCTAAAATTCATAAGTCGCTAAAATTACTTCACAAACGACCTAATTAAGTTGACAACACAACTTGGGAGCCTCAGATTTACCTAGACGTGCTATTACTAAACCACCATTCAGTGCCATTACTAAACCACCATTCAATGCCATTACTAAACCACCATTCAGTGCTATTACTAAACCACCATTCAGTGCCATTACTAAACCACCATTCAGTGCTATTACTAAACCACCATTCAGTGCTATTACTAAACCACCATTCAGTGCTATTACTAAACCACCATTCAATGCCATTACTAAACCACCATTCAGTGCTATTACTAAACCACCATTCAATGCCATTACTAAACCACCATTCAGTGCCATTACTAAACCACCATTCAGTGCTATTACTAAACCACCATTCAGTGCTATTACTAAACCACCATTCAATGCTATTACTAAACCACCATTCAGTGCTATTACTAAACCACCATTCAATGCCATTACTAAACCACCATTCAGTGCCATTACTAAACCACCATTCAATGCCATTACTAAACCACCATTCAATGCCATTACTAAACCACCATTCAGTGCTATTACTAAACCACCATTCAATGCTATTACTAAACCACCATTCAATGCCATTACTAAACCACCATTCAATGCCATTACTAAACCACCATTCAGTGCTATTACTAAACCACCATTCAATGCTATTACTAAACCACCATTCAATGCCATTACTAAACCACCATTCAGTGCTATTACTAAACCACCATTCAATGCCATTACTAAACCACCATTCAATGCCATTACTAAACCACCATTCAGTGCTATTACTAAACCACCATTCAGTGCTATTACTAAACCACCATTCAATGCCATTACTAAACCACCATTCAGTGCTATTACTAAACCACCATTCAATGCTATTACTAAACCACCATTCAATGCCATTACTAAACCACCATTCAATGCCATTACTAAACCACCATTCAGTGCTATTACTAAACCACCATTCAGTGCTATTACTAAACCACCATTCAGTGCTATTACTAAACCACCATTCAGTGCCATTACTAAACCACCATTCAGTGCCATTACTAAACCACCATTCAATGCCATTACTAAACCACCATTCAATGCCATTACTAAACCACCATTCAATGCCATTACTAAACCACCATTCAGTGCCATTACTAAACCACCATTCAGTGCCATTACTAAACAACCATTCAGTGCCATTACTAAACCACCATTCAGTGCCATTACTAAACCACCATTCAGTGCCATTACTAAACCACCATTCAGTGCCATTACTAAACCACCATTCAGTGCCATTACTAAACCACCATTCAGTGCCATTGGGGAACATTGCCATACTTGTGATCACCCACATAGTTGTCAAGTTCACAGACGTAGCACAGTCAACGGTCTCCTTACAACGGGAGACGCGACTTACTCGTCTCTACGAGGTCTGTCACTGGACGGAACCAAAGCTTCATTCAATTACTGCATTTCTAGGTTTGTCTAAAGTTCAAAGGTCGCGTTGTGTTGTCAACTTAAATAGGTCGTCTGTGAAGTAATTTTAGTCACTTATAATATTTAGATTATGTTCTAACAGTCTTTATTTTATTAACATTTAGACTTTACTGGTTAACTGTTTATATTTAACATCTAGATATCGTAGAGTTACTGTATTTTAATTCTTTTCGATTATAGAAATCTTTGCTATGTGTTTTTATTCTATATTGAATATTTTGTTTCTGACAGATTGTAACGAATGAGTTGTGAAACATACAGACACTGAAGAATGAACGGTGGTATGATATTCATCCTACTCTAGTGTTTTCCAAGAATTATGTCGATCCCTGCTATAAATTACACACATACACAGTAGCGATCAGTGAAGAGGCGGGGTCAGGAGCTATGACTCGATCTCTGCAACCACAAACAGGTGAGTACACATGCATTATATATATATATATATATTTTATTATCACACTGGCCGATTCCCACCAAGGCAGGGTGGCCCGAAAAAGAAAAACTTTCACCATCATTCACTCCATCACTGTCTTGCCAGAAGGGTGCTTTACACTAAAGTTTTTAAACTGCAACATTAACACCCCTCCTTCAGAGTGCAGGCACTGTACTTCCCATCTCCAGGACTCAAGTCCGGCCTGCCGGTTTCCCTGAATCCCTTCATAAATGTTACTTTGCTCACACTCCAACAGCACGTCAAGTATTAAAAACCATTTGTCTCCATTCACTCCTATCAAACACGCTCACGCATGCCTGCTGGAAGTCCAAGCCCCTTGCACACAAAACCTCCTTTACCCCCTCCCTCCAACCCTTCCTAGGCCGACCCCTACCCCGCCTTCCTTCCACTACAGACTGATACACTCTTGAAGTCATTCTGTTTCGCTCCATTCTCTCTACATGTCCGAACCACCTCAACAACCCTTCCTCAGCCCTCTGGACAACAGTTTTGGTAATATATATATATATATATATATATATATATATATATATATATATATATATATATATATATATATATATTATATATGCAAAATAACCACTGTGAAAGAATAGAGAAATTCCAAGCACTTTCGTGACTACTCACATTAGCAAGGAACAATAAAAGTAATGCATCAGAGGAAGGCATATAAAGGGTCTAGACCACACCTCACTATCACATCCCACAACAAAGCAACACCTGACGCGCGACTCATAAGAAAGAGAACACTGCAGCAGGCCCGCTGGCCCAACTAGACAGGTCCTTCACACACGTGGGTTGTGTGGAGGGCCGGGACACTTCCAGCAGCTTGGAAGAAGGCTACCATCGTACCAATTCCAAAGCCCAAGGACCCAGGCAGTATGAGACCCATATCGCTGACCAGCTGCATAGCCAAGACTGCTGAGAGGATGGTGTTAAACCGCCTCCTATGGAAACTTGGACCCCCCTCATCATCACATATTTGGCTTCACCAAAGGAGTGGGTACAGCAGAGTGCATAACCACCCTACTAAGCCAGATTGCTGAGAGTAACAAAAAACCTAGTGTCGTCTACCTCGACCTTGAGAAGGCATTTGAGCTAGCCAGCCCCACAGCAATTCTAGCAATACTAGCTCGGAAGGGAATCAAAGGACGCCTCCTGGCCTGGATAGAGTCCTACCTTAGGGGCAGGCAGGCCTGTGTCAGCTTTCAGGGACACTACTCTTCCTTTCAAACCCTGGAAAACGGCACGCCACAAGGAGTTGTGCTCAGTCCTACCCTGTTTAACGTCTTTATGCAGGAACTTGTGAGCCTTCCCTTTCACAGTGGTACACAGCTTCTCAGCTATGCTGATGATCTTGCACTCGTAGTGAATGAGAAAGGCTATTTGGAGCGACAGGCTCAGAGAGCTTTGGACCTAATTACGCAGTCTTGCAAGGAACTAGGCCTCAAGATCTCGGCCGAGAAATCTCTTGCAATGACGTTCAAGGGACCAGATCCTGTGAATAGATTACGTATTCAGGATATAGAACTTGAGTGGACAGGCTCCTACCTGTACTTGGGAATCTTTGTAGATGAATGGTTCAGAGAACCGACATGTTGATAAATTAGACACATGTGCAACTCTTGGGTATCTTTATTATCAAGGTTATCAAGGTTGAGGGACTGATTGCCTCATTCTCCTCCTGTTCTTCAAGTTTCTCCTACGTATGGACTGATGAAGCCACTGTGTGGCGAAACGTTTACTCAATAAAGATACCCAAGAGTTGCACATGTGTCTAATTTACCACTTGGGAATCTACATTGATAAAAAGCTGACCTTTCAGAAACAGGCCGAGTATGTCAGGTCACGTGCTCTACTCAGACTCAACGCCATGATAGCCATGACGAGGCACCGTGCAGGGGCAAGCAAAGATGTACTTCGCTTGTACTATATACAAGCTATACGCTCGCTTATTGACTACGGTGCACCGGCGTTAGCTCATCTCTTCCCGCAGAGCAGGCAAAGGGTGGAGGTCGTACAAAACCAGGCGATAAGAAC